GTAACACCTCTTAGGACAGAATGCTTTTGATGAGAGTGAGAAGACTTAGTATGTTCTTGTAGGGAAGACTTCATAAGAAGAAAAAATCTTAAGGCAGCAAGGAATGCTTAAAATGATTATCGTCTCTCAACAAAAGAGAGAGTTATGTGAAAACTTACTTTACTAACTGTTTAGAAAGGTCAGCAAGCTAGACCAATATTCAGAGGAACTTGTCCTAAGTTAGAGTATAAAGGAAAACGTTGAACCAGCACTCAATGTAATTCAATATATGTTGTGATTTTTGCTTTCTTGATAGCATCTCTGAGCAGTCTTCTGGTCACTCCTTTTCCATCTCCAAGCTCTTCATCATCATCTTCTAGCAGCTATCAACGTCGCTGGCTCCGAAGTCAGACAACCAGTTTAGAGAATGGAATTATTCCAAGGTGGTGAGTGCAGCAGCTTTCTGTTTACAACAGCTATTTGGCAGCAATAGCAAAATAGAGCTTAAGCATCTTTTCTTTAACAGGACAAATCCTGTTATTAAAAAGTACTCTCACTTCAGTCTGACTTCTGTGCATGTTGCGTAAGATTGCCAATATGAAGAAAGATCACGTTTTGGCTGAATATAAGCTACAAGGCTGGATCTGAAATACAGTTGTTTTTATTGAAGGTATAGGCTGTGTGTCAAAAGACCCCATTCTGAAAAGCAAGTCAAACCATTTATGAAAAAGCAGAGTAGCCTGTTGAGATGAAAGAGATTGTAACAGCACTGCTGCCGTAATTATTACATTATACTATGATGAAGTCTGACTAGTGAACAGCTACTGACGTTTTGGAGTAACAGCCCATGACGACTCTCTTGGCTGGTACAGGCTGTTCCTGAAGTGACTTCTGCCAAAACAGGAAGGAAAAAAGAGCTGTGATCAAAAAGCTTGGCTTCTGTTTTGGAATTTTATTAGCTTTTGTAGCTCAGTGGCATAACAAAGCATGGAATGCAACAGACCTTTCACAGGTAATAAGCAAATTCCTCCCTCATCAGTGACAAAATAGCAAATGAATCTTGATTATCTTCTCATATGTACTCATCCACCTGCACCCAGAGACTGCATGGAATTAGTGAAGGGCTACAAAAAACTCCTGCTGTGTGTACTTTCTCCTTCTTCGCTGTCTTCAGATAAGCTTAAAAGCGGCTAATGAAAACTAATCATTTAAAAAAAAAAATACTCCCTTTGGAAAAGGCCAATTGCAAATATGTTTTAATTATGCCATCATTTACTTTCCCTAGTGGCATCACTTGAACCTTTTTCCAGAATATTCTCACAGAATCATTTTTAACATGAGGAATCATGCAACGGTTCCAATGTAGCAATGCTGTTTTCTAAATCACGCTTGCAGGCAAGAATGAGCTAGCAAACATTTTATGTTCAGTAGATAGAAGTACTTTTTAGCCAAGTTTCCTAAGGGAATAAGGCTATTAGAGCAGTGCATGCCAGATGGGTTAAAATGTTGAGAGGGAAATAAGGCAATTTCAGCCCAGCGTAGGAAGTAGCCAAAGTTTCACAGATAAAGTACCTGAAAGTGTTATGGAAAAAAGTAAAATAGCCTTATTAAGCTTCTTATTCACTGAAGAGAATAATTTGTTCCGTGTTGGAGAATCCATACTGGGAAAAGATCTTGGAAAGCGGACATTATTAATTCTAATGTCTGGAACTGCCTTTGGTCTGGGGTTCTTTCTAAGCCAAAGAGACTCTTCAGGTATTTGTTTTCTGATCACGTGCTAGTGAAACAGTGAGTTCCTGGCTGAATACTTCAGTGACAGCAGAGTTTACACTTCAATTTGTACAGCCAAGCTTGTACAGCTTCTAACTGATGTTTTAGGCCCACTAGCCCAAAGGAAATGGAGCATCTAGCTAGAGCTCCAGGTAGTCAATTGGCGGACAAGCTAGATAAGCAGCTCTGAAAAGGCTTCTCTCGCAGTCATACCTCAGTTCTTCAATATCCATTCCTGGGAAGCAGTACAAAAACTTGGTTTGTGATGTTTCTTAGATGCTGACTGACTGTGTTTTCCCAGCTTCCTTGGGAATTTCTGTCTCTGCATGTAAGTTCCTGCAGTTCAACTGGGGTTATGTTTTTGTCTTGAACGATGTTTTCCCACAAGCCGTTTCTGCTGGTTTTTTGTTGTTTGTTTTTTTTCCTGTATTCCTGGACTTATATCTCTGTGATGAGAAATTTTTGTGTATATATAACTTTATCAAACCGATTATACTGTAAACTACGTATTCTTAGAATGAAAGCTTAGCATTCAGGCTTTCCTCTTGTTAGTTGCTTCACAGTGGTCTGTAAATGCCTCAGGCTCCATTTCAAGATAATTCTGATCTCGAAAGCCTTAAAAATCTTAAATCTACCACTTACTCCTATTGCAGTTTTAACTTACAAGGAAAGTCAAAAAACAAGCTATTTCCACTTGAGCTGCTCCTCTAAACGTGTTTGGTTGTATGTGGCTTTTTTTCCTGCCTATTCTAGTTAGAATTTTCCTTCTGAAAGAAATTCTGACCATGCTGTTTTAATCATTAATATATATTATTTTTCTACTTAATATATTTTTCACAGTGAAATTGATTCAGAAACTTGGAACAAGAGAAAGTAATAGCTCTGCAAATCCAGAATCTTCAGTACTTAAATCTGCAGTGCAAGTATTTGTGGAGGAATGGGTGGGGTGGACTGCCACTCTTTTGTTTAATCACAGAAAATTTTAGGTTGGTAGAAACCAGTGGAGGTCTTTTAACTCAGTCACCTGCTCAAAGCAGGACTGACCTGGAAGTTAGATCAGGTTGTTCAGGAACTTGTCTTATTGAATTTTAAAAATCTCCAAGGATGGGGGTTCCACAGCCTCTCTGAGAAGCCTGTTCCATTGTCTAAACTTTTTCTGTGATTTTATTTTTTATATATAACCAGAAATTTCTGTGCTGCATCTTGTTTACAGCCAAAGGATGCGAGTCAATGTTCGCCCACCCACTGCATAGTAGAAGATTGCTGAACAAACCCAGCACTTTCAGACTTTTCTTGTATGTCATGTGCTCCAGGCTCCTTAACACTTTGGTCCTTCACTGGATTTGCCCGAGTTTGTGGACTGGACGCAGTTCTGGTGTTGCCTTCTAAGTGCCAAACAGAGAATATTGACTTATGTTGCCTTGTTGGCTAGGCTCTTGCTAATACAGCTCAATAGGCAATTAATCTTTATTGCTTCCCAGGTACAGTGCTGACTAATGTTCATTTTGCTGCCTGCCAGCACTCCCAGGGCCTTGCCTGTAGGATGCTACCTGAACAGTCAGCCCCCAAGCCATATAGTTGTATGAGGATGTTCTGTCCCAGGTGCAGGGCTTCTGCCTTGCATGACAATTTGTTGTTGAACTTAACTGTTCCTTGTTAAGATCCTTCAGAATGGTAGACATGCCCTCCAGTGTATTGACCGTTTCCCACCCTACCACCCCAAATTTTGGCATAATCTGCAAACTTACTTAGGGTGTGTTCTGATCCATAGTCCAGGTTGATGATGACAATATTAAGCAGTATTAATCCCCTTGTGTGATATTGAACGCTGGCACCACTGTTGAGAGAAATGTGGCAGAACTATCTAGTGAGCTGGGGAAGCTGTTGTTTCCCCAACAGCTTGGGGAAACATTATAGATGGCTGTAAAATGGCCACTTTTTAATTTTTTAGCAGGAAGCAAAGCTTTTTAAGGTATAGCAAATTTTGAGCTAGGCCTACATGTATTTGTAGGCATTAAACTGTGTTTTCACAGTAATTACTAAGTGGTGATGTTTTGTCTTCGGTTAAAATAGAAACTTATATTTCATGCTTTTAATGGTTGTTTTACAGTAGGCATCTTAAGATGCTGGACAAGTAGTGTGTTTTCCAACTTATCTCATGAGCAGTATGAGAGATTATATAGATTTAAGAACATTGTGGGCATACTGTTGAGGAGCTGGGCAGGAACTTGAGAGCTGGATTCAGTTCCCAGCTCTGTCAGTTTCCCTATAACCTTTTTTTGCACATTACTATCTGTTGTGCTTCTGTTTTGTTTTTATAAATGCAAATACATCCAGAAGGAGGGATTTTGTTGTTCTGTTCTAGAAGAAAGCTTTCACTGCGTCTTAACTGCTAGCCCCTCTGGGGTAGCCTTTCTCCAATCCATTTTAGTAACCACAGGTCTTGTCCATCAAATTGCTGGATATTTGCTGTGAACAGAGACAGGTGACAGCAAATTTTTGTGCAGATAGGTAAGGCAGACTTAAGCATGAGTTCCCTTTAACTATGTGTAGAGATGGATAGAAGATAAATTGGCTTTAATACATGTAAAGCTGTCCTAACAGATCTTTTTTACAGGTCCACTGAAGAAATGTTTAGTATGGTTGATGAAAACTGCGGCTCCAATCCTGCAATGGTTCGGAGGAAAAAAATTGCAATCAGCATAATCTTCTCTCTACCTGAAAAAGAAGAAGCACAGAGACACTTCCAGGACTTCTTTTTCTCTCACTTCCCTCTTTTTGAATCCCACATGAACAAGCTAAAGTATGCAATAGAAAAGGTATGGAACAATAATTTGGCTTAACGTGGGAAAAATAAGTGCCAGACTAGAACAAAGTATTCTGGAATCTAATAGATGAAGTCTGGGAAGGAGTGGGAGAAAGCTGTGTGGTTCCAAGCTTTCCTCCCTCCTTACTATGGAGAGTTGTATGTTGCAGGTGGTTTTTCTTTCCTTTTCCTTTTATTCCACTGAGGTGGTCTTGACTCCCTGGAACCTTGAAATGATTGTATTCTACCCTTTCATGCAGTCACTAAAAGAGAGATAAGACGTGTTTGGTGCTGTCTTCCCCTTCCTCTCTCCAAAATGTTCTCCTCTTTTCCCATGTCTAGTTTTAGGGATTGGTCTTTCATGGTGTGATAGAGGGAGGTTGGCAGCTGTTGCTGTCCTGAGTGGCTGTGTAGCACTGGGGTTATTAATTATCTTGAAACGTTAATGAAGCTTAACAAATGAAGAATATGAATCCTTTAAGAAGCTGTTTTCTGTATTTAACTCTTAATCAAGGCCATGATCTGCTGCAGAAGAATAGCGGAATCTAGCCAAAGAGTGCAGGTTTATATCAGCCGTGTCATGGATGCCCTGGGAGAATTCAGGTGAGTTGATGGGGGCTCTCAGAAAGAGAGCTGTTCTCATGCTCCTCTAAAGTTGCTTACCACTTCCAATTATAAGCAACTGAATGCAGATTTTTGTAATTTAGCCAGTCTTGAAGTTAGCATGACTGAATTTCCTGTGCTGGGCATTGGGTAAATGTTTTTGAAAAACTTCATCCCAACTGTCTCAGCCATTTTGAGAACAAGAGTAAAAGTAGTACTTTTAGAGATCCGCAATCCAAGAAGGACAGCCCAGGAAAGAGACGAGAAGCATTTATGGGGTGGAAGTTCTGTAGTGTCCAGAATGTGAATAGAATGGTTTCTTTTTCCCCTTCATAATGATTTGTAATTCTCTGCATACAAGTACAGAGGGGAATGCAAGAAAGGGAAGAAGAATATGCAGTTCATGTGAAGAGACTTTAAGGAGCTGTTGTAATAATAGATTCATGAATCAGAAGTTATTGGTACACTGAATTAAACAGGCTAGCATTCTAGCATTCTGGCACTCTAGGAATTAGTGTGTCTGGGAAAACTTTTCCAATTTGGTCGCAGTCTCCTAGCTCTTACCAAAAAAAAAAAAAAAACAAAAAAAAAACCAGTAGATGATAGAAGAGGAAACGGGCTACTTGTGTTTGCAACTTTGAAATGCTGCATGTTAACGCTTGTTTGGGGGTTTCTTGTTCTGAGCAGAATTACCATCTGGAACCTGTATTCTGTTCCAAGGATTGCAGAGCCTGTGTGGCTTAATATGATGTCCAACACCCTGGAAAAGAGCCAGTTATGTCAGCGTTTTCTTAAAGAATTTACATTTTTGATAGAACAGATCAACAAAAACCAGTAAGCTTTTTTCCCCATATTCCCTAAAAGCTTGTGTGCTTCCCAGTGCACGTGATATGTTCAAGCATTTAATGGGATATTCTTTTGCTATTATTAAGTTGGTCATATTCTTTTTTTTTTTCTAGGTTCTTTGCTGCTTTGTTAACTGCGGTGCTGACTTATCATCTGGCTTGGGTCCCAACAGTAATGCCAGTTGACCATCCTCCTATAAAGGCCTTCTCTGAGAAACGCACATCACAGTCTGTGAACATGCTGGCAAAATCTCATCCATATAACCCTCTCTGGGCACAGCTTGGTTAGTAGCAAATTGAAAACTTCAAGACTTCTCTAGACTAACCCCTTCCTGCATGCACTCCTCTTATCCAAGAGCTACTTGGAAGTGTACTTGGAGTTGGATGTTGTTTCTCAAGCTAGCTATGAACTAGTACAGCTTAGCTTTATAGTCACATCTCTTCTAGCACTGGCTTGAGGTCTTTAATGACTGCTAGTGGAACTCTAGAAAAGATTTGCTGATCAGTCTAACTGTAAGTTGGGCAGAGCCCATGAACAGATGTCATGAGTCTGGGTAAGGAGAATATCTAGAGGCCTGTCAGCCTAGCCTGGTGCTCTCCTCTGCTTCCTTGGTCCCTTCTCCTCTTCCTCCTTTATACTTCCTGGTTAAAATAACTTAGTATAGAAATCTTAAGAGGGTGCAAGTGTTCCAAATGGCCTGAGCAGTCTGGGGGAAATGAGAGGGAATAGAGTAGGTGGAAGGAAGTGTTCTGGGCCTTGGAGGCCCTTTCTAGTCTTGCCCTGGCTACTTCCTTTTGCCTCTTTCTCACAGAGCTAGGATGGACACCAAGACAACAGAATAGAAAACGGGTAGCTGGCAGTACCTCCACTCATTCAGTTACTTGAGTGGGCTTGGGCCAAGATTTACTTTCTACTCCCAGCTCCTCAGGCTGTTTTCTAACAAATAGTATATAGCTTATGAATTTTTTTGATACAGGGAACTAAACAACTGCTGTCAAATTAGTAGATGAGTGAGAGCTGAGAGAATAACACTGCCAGTGGTAAATCCTTGAAAATTCCTCCTCCTCTTTGCAGCAGCTGTGAGTTTGGTATCAGCTCAGCCTTAACATTACATCATATACTATATTGCCTGTAAAATAACACACCTGCATACTGTAGCAAAGCTCTAAAGCAGTAACCTGACTTTTACACTGTGCTACTGGCCATGTTTCCATCTTATTGTCTAGCTTAGTTCCATTCGTTCTTCTTAGTAGCCTTTATGGCACTATGAGTTGCCACCTTGGCCATATAGTTGTAGTAAAAGATGCATTTCCTGTTTTCAGATGAATTTTAAACGTGATGCAAGGAGTAATGGATTAGATTTGGCCGGGGGGGTGGGGGGGGGAACACGAAAATGGAAGCTGACTCAGGGTATTGAGGATGGAGCCAGGCCTGTGATTTTAACAGCCAGCTGCAACAGAGGTGTAAGATGGGCAGTAGCTCTTGTGGTCTCTTCCAGGAGCCACTGCCAGTGATTGGTCAAGAATCTGTCTCCCTTCTCACCTTCCCAGGCTTTATGTTGCTACCAGCACCACCTTAGCCAAATTCTGAGTACTGGAGCTCAAAATGCTTCTTGTTTCTGCTTTGTTCTTGTAAAGCCCAAAAGCCAGTATCAGGTGGTTGCAGTAACTGATGGTGCATAGTAAGATGTTGCCCTCTGCTGGTTTCCTTCTTAAAAAACAAAACAAAAAAAAGCTTGGTGCTTTTAAAATGAAAATTACTTTTTATTAAGGTAAACATTTTGGAGTGTCAGTCGATCTACCTTCTGAGATATGATCTTATTGCATATTATGCATCAATTACAAATACGTGTTAATAGGAGTTTAGGTAATGCTGCAGGTAAGACATAATACTCTCTCTGTTTAAGCTTGGCTTCAATCTGATATGCTTAGTTGTAGGCATTAGTATGTTTTGAAGACCACAATTTTGACTCTTCTTCCTGTCTCAGTAGGAATGTTTTTAATATAGAAGTCATTTGTGCAAGTGAACATGAATCCTGAATGTGATTTCCATAGCAACAGCGCCCAACTTAAAAGTAAAAAGACTTCTTCCCCTTTTCTTTCCAGATTGGCCCACTAGGCATTGGGATAAATAGAATTCCTTCTAATTCTTACATAACAAACAAGAGAGGTCAGACCTGTCTAGCAGACAGTTTAGAAAAATGTATGGTCTTGCTGCCTAGGATTAGGTCTCTGCAAACCTCACATAATTTAAAAATCAGATGATTAGTCTGGGGCCTCTTTTCACGTACTGGGGATGGCATGTTAGGCTATGGGGCTGGTGGCAAGGGTACTGAAGGAAGACAGCATACTGATGCCACCATGCAGCCGCATCTGCAGTGGATCACTGGCATAGTGGACATGCCTCTACAGACAGCAGGTCGTGGTAGGGGAGGCAGTGAAAGGAGTGGAATTACTGTCTTGCTGATCCTTGCTCTGCAGGAAGGGAGCCAGGAACCTTATTCCTTCTGTGCCCTGCAGGGCTCAGAGGATGCTGGGCATAAATTTTACCTTTTGTGGTTTCAGCATCCTCGTGTTGAAAGCAGAGTTCCCCTTGCTCCTGGTAGGGACTTTCCTGAAGCTCTCGTTACAGTTCTATTTAGTGTTAGTAGAACTTGAGGTCTGGACAAAATCCTGGTGGCAGACTTGGTCCAGAACACTTGAGAAACCCTGGGCAAGGACTTAACATCCAGAAAATCTGTATGGTAGATCAGCGTGTAGCCAGAGAAACCTGTTTGCAAGGTGAATATTTGTGCTGGTTGAAGAAAATCTAGCTTTTAGTGGCTGCCTCCCATCTACTCGTGATGTCAGCTGCAGTTTGGTCAGCCAAAGCCCTTCAGTGAGTGCTCTGTAATGGGTGTCAGGTGACGTCAGTTGCAGTAACTCAACCTGGTAATAAATGTTTCTTGAGTTTAACCCAGCTTTATCTGAAATGGAGCATCTAAGCATTTCTTTATTGGACGTTTGAGTTAACTTCTCCAGAATTCTAGTGCAGAAACCCTTCAGTTGATAGATTGTGATGGGCAACTGGAATGTAGTTACCTGTGCCATCAACACAGCTGTTAAGAGTATATATGAGCTTGGCTCTGTTTAAAAAGCTCTTCTCCAGCATAAGAGCTAGCAAATAAACAGTTCTAAGGGGACTCCGATTATGCTCTAGTATCTATCTTCTATATTAAAACACAACTGTAATAGGTAAGTGCATGTACTTTCTAGTATCCCCCCTCCCCCAACATGCGCACACGCAAAACGCTGAACAAAGCTCACTTTTGTGAGATTGCCTCCAGGTACATAGAGATGTGGGTGCCTTGGCCCAAAAAGTACTATTATATAACTCTGTTTTAGAACCTTATTTATTAAACTGATATTAGACCCTTTTTTTTTTTTTTGGTTTTTGGATATCTTAGCACTGAAATACATCTTTTAGCTTTTATCTGAATGACAATTTGTGTTTAGCAAAAGGAGAAGAAAAAGTGACCCCAATAAACCAGAATAATTTTGATGTGAAAGAAAATGAGTAGGAAAAACAGAAAACAATACAGTTGATTTTAGAGTTTAGCTAGATCTATGTTCCTCTTCACCCCATGTTGTGTCATTTTCCAAATGATAATATCTTTTAGCCATTTTGTAAAATAAAACCTGCAGTTGTTTTGAAGGGAAAGGAACTGAACAGTAGAAGCCAAACCCTCATAAAAATACCAAAACCCTTACGAATACAAGCCAGGAAGAAGAAATGTCAGGGTCTGTCTTTTGTTGTCGTTTTAAATTTTTATGAATTTACTATGAAATAAAATAACTGTCTCATTTGTGTGAGTAGTAAATGCTGCTTAAAAATGTGCTGAATTCAAATGGTATAGCTTATATGACAACCATGTAATAGGTTGTGATTAAGAGCATGTGAAATTCTTGTTTTCTTTGTAGGTGACCTTTACGGTGCCATAGGCTCTCCAGTTAGGTTGACTCGGACTGTTATTGTCGGAAAACGTAAGGAGTTGGTGCAGCGCTTGCTCTATGTTCTAACTTACTTCATTCGGTGCTCTGAGCTGCAGGAAAATCAACTGACATGGAGTGAAAAGGTTGGGGAAGGAGAGCAAGTGCTAAATGGAAGCACGATCACAACCACACTAGAAAAGGGAGAGGTAGAAGAATCTGACTATGTGATTGTCACTGTTAAAAATGAACCTGCTCTTGTGCCTCCAATCCTACCTCCAAAGAATGATGGAAGTAAGAGGAGTACAACTGCTGAGTGGGTTCATAATTCAGAAAGTACTCATGCTGTGCAAGCCTCCTCAAAAGAAAAGAATGAAGCAACAGGAAAGGCTAGTCAGAACTCTGAAGCCTCTGTTGACTGTCTAACTAACTCTTTCCATAAAGGAGCAGCTGATGGTAGGAGGAGGACTGTTGCTGATACTGGAGTCATATCCTACCACTTTGAAGAACAATCTGAATTGGAGGATTTAATGGATCTAAAAAAGAACCAGACTGAAAGCAAAGTGGAAAAGCAGCTGCCTAGTAGGTCATCTGCCTTACCTTGTCCTGAAAGGTCTGGCCACAGGAGTTCACACTTAGAAAAGGTCACCTTTCAGATTGGAAGTTCTGCGTCACCAGAGTCGGACTTAGAAGCTCGTAGAAGAGAAATGGAAGAGAATCTGAAGGCATTCAGAAAAAATCCAGAGGTGATGCATTGTGCCTCAAGCTCCACAAGTCTTAATGTAGACACTTCCCAGAATCAACAAGAAAGTTGTGTGGCTGCTTTTATACCCTGCAGTAAACGTAGTTATGCACAGGTTCCATCTTGTGAGGGGAAGAAGAGTGTACTTAATGACCAACATGTGGAAAGTAAAGGAATAGAAATGAATTTAGCAAACAGATCTAGTAAACCAGTTCTGCCCACTGATAATATAATAGCTATAAAAATGCCAAACGTGGAAGAATCTAGAACTTTATGCTCTGACAATCTGGAGAGCTGTTCACCTGACTCTGCACAAGTAGCTCCTGCTGTCAAGCAGGATTCTCCTCAAGTAGGTGCTAAAGATGTCCCCTATGGGGATGCTGGAAGGAAAGTCCCATTCAGAGTTGAAGGGGACATTCCAAGGAATGAGAGTTCAGACAGTGCTCTTGGAGCCAGTGATGAGGAAGGTGATTGTTGTATCTCTGAACTGCTTCATGATAACGTCAGCAAAAGACTCGATGAGTTTGCAGAAGTGGAACTTCCTTTACCGAGGTAAGGAAATTCCAGTGACTTTAGAAATAAAGGGAATGAGAAGTGGTTGCTTCCTTAGAGATTTTCAGGATTTCAAGTCAGAAATTCTAGAATCTTGATTAAACTCTTTGCTAACAAATCCCTAACAGCTGGCAATGTAGTTAGGATTCTTGTTAACAATCTTGGCAGAAAGAAAGCCAAGATTAAGTAGCTTGAGGTGTTGAAGTTTTGTAACAAAGTTGTTGTTCAAATGTTTAATGAAAAGATACCACATTTGTTTAATATGCAACTGCCTGAAACATTTAATCTAGACAGAGTTCTATTTAAGGACAAACAAAACTCTAGCTTTTGTCAAACTGATGCCTGTTAAAGTCAAATTTCAAAAAAGCAGGAGCATCTTATTTAAAAACTAAGCTTTGTAGATGCACAAGTATCTTGCTGGTGCCTAAGGTAGGGAGCTATGAGTTTGCTTCTTAGTCTGAGTCTGAGAACACTCAAACTCAGTGAACCTGTTAGGTGCAGAATGAGGAGCTCGTTTACACCACAAGCTCTAATACATGTAAACTTGCTTTGTCTTAAATCTGAAAGAGTCAATACAGTGTTAAATTTTAGTTTTTAAAATTATCGTTTCAGAGAGCACCAATAACTGGTTCACTGTATTTAGAGTACAATTACTGATGAATACCTGCAGTAGAAGCAGGAGTGATAAATCAAATGTTTTCTTTCATGTCAAAATCTGAATGCAATCTGTCAAGCAAGGATCTTACCTGTGTTGTATTTCTATATTTCAGGTCAAACACAATCAGCAGTCAGTGCATGAAAAATTTTGGAAGATCACTTCTAGGTGGTTACTGTCATACGTATATGCCTGATTTAGTGCTACATGGAATAAATAACGATGAAAAACTCAAACAATGTCTACTAGCAGACCTACTTCATTCAATGCATGTGAGTTAAAATACTGTTGTGAATAGGAGGTGTGACATTACTGAGAATCTACAGAAGCATAGTAGCTGATGCTTTGAATAGAACCTATCATTCCATTCTACTAACCTGTTCTTAAAAGCAGCTCTTGATGTGTCTTGTTTCTTGGAAGAGATTACCCCTCAATTCATTGTGAGAGAAGCCTATTCAGACAAGAATCACTTACTCTTTCATTTATACCCTCTTAAGTCTTCTCTTTGAAAGAAAAACACAAAGATTTTCTGCTAGCAACTTCAAGTTACAAACAAGGAAAAAACCCTCTGAAATCACTTTTCAATCACAATACCAGATAATTATCAGTATTTCATAGAAATGAAATACCTGTTGGAAGCATCTCAATTTGATTGCCACTTAGTGGCATGTGTTGCAAGGGAGATGTCTTGTGGAGGCAGGCCTAGATTATACTAGACAGTAGCATAAGTGACTGACTACAGAAAACTGGTGGATATGGGTAATAACTTTGCTATAAGCTTACACTTAAGCTATGTCCTTACCTTACTTTGAGTTATAACTAACCTTTCACTAAAATAACTTTGTGTGCCCTTAGTATGCAATTCTAAATATTTAATTGTCTAGTGATGCTCATCAACTGCTTCTATCTATGGCAATTAAAAATCATCCTGCTGGAATGAGTTCACATATTGCCCAAAACTGTGACGTGTGTGTGTGTATGTATGTATGTGGTTTTTTTTAAAAAACAACATCAAATTGGTCTAATGTGATACTGTCTTCATACATACCTTGCTTTGATTGTGTTTAGTGAAATCCCTCACAAAATGCCTTGTTTGCGAAACACTGATTACGCTTTCTCTGCCACTGAATCAGTATAATTATTATTTTCATTTTGGAAGAAACCT